AACTTCTGCTTTAGATTTTAATTTTAATTTTTTTTTTTTTTAAAGCAAGCAGAATTTGCATATACTTTTTTTCCTCTTTTACCATTGTGTCCTCTGGGACTGGTTGGTTTCACCCTCCTACTCATTTGAAAAACTGGTATCTAACCTTGCTTTTGTGATCCTCTATGTTAAACTCATTCTATTCTTCCTATGTAGACGCTCCTTGTTCTGGAAATGGCAGCAGTTTCCAAAGACCTCTCCTTATTTGTTTATCTGCAAAGATTTAACATTTTGAGAGTATGATTTAACCTTGATCAGATGGTCATGCTGTTTGTCAGATCTGCCTGGTTTTGTTGTGGTTGTTTTTAATGTGACCAATAGCCCTGGACAGTTGTGCCAGGGAATTAATTTTGAACATTTTTTTTTCTCAGTCTGATTACAAAAATGCTTTATAGTTCACGGTGCAGGATATGGGTATCCTTGACTTCAGTACATTTGCATAGAACTCCAGGTCTTCTACTGCTATCTATAGAAGAACATGTAAGATATTCTTCTAGAATTTTTGGTAGTTCGGATTTTTATGCTGAATTGTTGTGTGAGCCTTTTGGATTTTGTAATACTCCCGTGTAATCTACTGCTGAATAGCAGAACCAGGGGAAAATGTAGATTGTGCTGAAGCATTTGTGGTGAAGGCCTGTTGTTTGGAAATAACTGCCATGCATTTGATAAAAGACAGACTTTGCAGTTACTTGAAATAGACTGTTCTTAATAATATCTGAAGGAAATTAATAGATGTTGATTTCTCTCAGAGTCTTTTTGTTTTCCCATGTTCTGTTCCTCAGTCTACACTTAAGGCAATAAGTAAAACACTGCAGCCTTAGTCATAGTAAAAGATAGAAGTTACAGTGTGTATCCTATCAGAGTTGAGTAATTAAAAATGTAGAAATAGGAATCAGTGACATTACTACGAGGGCCATGAAACTTTGTGTCTTCCAAGAGTTTCTTATATAATATATGCTACTTTACTTTGGCCACATAATTATATCTGTTTATGGTGTGTATAAAATTATTCATACAATACTCCTTGCAAAAAGATTCTCTATGGTTGGAAGAATATTTGTTATCCATTTATAGACAGGTTAGTCTCTCTTTGCAGGAGAAAAAATGGTGTCTTCTGTGGTATTTATCTGAAGGCATGTTATTTAGAACAAGCTTTAATAGTAGATGGACTGCTCTGTAAATTGCAGTATTGGAAACACGATGTAAGGATAAAAAAAAATAAATCTTTTGGTAGGGATGAGATTTGTCAGTGCCTGGTGTGTAGTTGTGGCTGTTTCCAGAATCTGCTCTAGGGAGCATGCCATGATGCAGGTGAGTAGGAACTTTTCCTCATGCTTTTTCCTCCAGTTTGATGAAGATGCACTCGCACTTAATTCATCACAAATAGATAGACTGTAGTTTTCTCTTTTTGCTCATTCATTTGCTCAAAACTCATAAATCCAAAATTCACTGCCTACCTTTTGTTTGATTGATGGATTTGTCTTGGATATTCTATGTGAAGTTTTCTGCTCTTTAAAGAAAATATGTTGCTTGTTGTCATCCCAACTCCTGAAGAGAGTTGGTCAGATTCCTGTATGAGCTGTTGCTGTTAGATAACATTTCAAGCACCAGGCATGCTTTAACAACTCAGATCGTTTTTCCCTGCAAAAAAAATTTTGAATTGGAGAATCTGATTTTTTTTTTTCTACTTTAAAAATAGCATCTGTTTCCTCTTGTGTTTTTGAATCCTATGAAGAAAACTGAAGGGAGGCAGGCAGCTTGTTTTGACATTACATCCTTCTTAAATAGCAGTGAACTGGGGATCGATACAGAAAGAAGGGAAAAACTGGGAAAAAAACTGTTAAAATCATTAGTATAAAGATATAGACTTCTTTATTTTCATGTTGTAACCTTCATGTTGTAACTCAGGAAGTACTTTGGTTAGCACAGGTTCAGGATGAGTATTGAGGTGTTCTGGGTCTCACACTAATTTCCCAAATGTACCTGAGCTGTTATTTTGTGGTTTATCTTGCTCATCTGCAAGCTGCCATCATAAATTTACTGCATAGTTTAGCTGACCGAACAGACTTGTAGATAGAGGATTGGGTTGTGGTAGTTAAATAAATGAAGAATGAACAAAGGATGGAAAATCCCGCATGAGTTCATCAAAATGTCTGATACGTGCTTAGGAGAAGATAAATTCTGTTTAAAACAGTTGATATTCTTGTATTTGTGTGTGTGCTTCTGTACCAAGGCGGTTGTCTTTGAAGGCCTCTGTTACATTGTTTGTTCCTCCTCCCAGTCTGAAAATCTGTTTCACGATCTCTAAGACTACCAAATATTTTTCTTCCGTCTTCAGTAATGTTTTGTCTTTTGTCTTCAGTGAATTAGAGAGTTAAAGTGAACAAAATTATGCTTCTAGTGTGGCTGTTCTCTTCTCACACTGAAATGTGTTTTTCAGGCTTTCAACTTTCATACTAATGTCAATTCACATATTAGAAAACGTTTAGTACAGCTTACAGGGATTTGTTGATTCTGCTGTTCAGTGGATATTTGTATGAAGACCTTATTGAACTAATGAGACTGTGAGACATGTATTCTATTTGAATCAATTGATTTAGCTTTAAATATATTCCAGTCTTAGTGTAGTATTGTGCTTTAGAATGCTATTCTTTTATAGCAAAGTTACATTTTACAAAAAGATTATTAAGATTTATTGTAAAAGTTATCAAAAATGATGTGTAAGGTTTACTTGAATGCATTATTTTTAGCTACTCTGTGTTTGGAGACCAAATAATGTTTGTAAGGAAGATAAAAATTCTTCAAATTCAAATGAAGAAAAGCAGTTCTTATGGTGGAAGTAACTCTGAGTCATTGCAAGATGTTTGATTAGTATTCATGACACAAAAGGAAGTTATTTTCAGGGTAAAGGAATTTGTGAAAAGATAATTGGTTAGACCAACATTCTCATTAACCTAATTTGCATTAAATGTGCTACTGTGAATTGTAGTTATTGCTTTTCCATTTGAAAGGCATGCTTTGTTAATCTATTTAAGAGCCTAGTTAAACTACCGTTTAAGTCATACCCCTTAATTCAGCAATACAGTGTCTGTGGATCTGTTATTCCCGACTTTCTAAGTGTGGAGAATCACAAGTCAGATCTCGATCCTGGCTTATTTTCCTGGTGAAGTAGGTTTGTTTAACTGCTTTACATCGGGTCATTCTCAGCTATCTAGAGCACCCACTCATCCTTTTGTTTTACTTCTTTGTCTTGAAGAAAATACGTGACTTATTTCCCAATAGTATGAGGGCTCTGAGAATCATTTGGTTTAATCATTTTTCAATACCTACTTCTTTACGTGTGTAACTAAACTGAGCCTTTTAAAAATGAGCAGTTAAATTAATTTGCATTAAGAGTGAATCTGGATTTCTTTAAGTTTTAGCTTTAGCTTTTACTGAGCAATGTTCTCAATGCTCTGACAGAAGGATTTACTCACAGTTGTGTTATTAACACAATGAAAAGTTAAACATTCACATCTCTAGTTAGACGCACAAAGTACCATATTTCTCCAGGTAATCTGTGATTCTCAGGATCAAATTTAACCTCCTTCACACCTCTGAATAGAACTGTGAACAGTTCAGCAACTGTCTACTGTCTGTCCATACAAAGATGCAGAAACAGCTGTTTGTTCTCAAACTGCATGGTCTAGGAAGACACACATCCCATGCTGTGCATCAGCAACATACATGCTATGTGTTATGCTAGATCTTTGGTCATTATTTCATTTTGAGGTTCTCTTGTTCTTCATAATTTTTATGGCATATTTCTTTACGGCAAGTTGATCAAAAGAAGTTAAAAGGTGTTCCCCACACTTTTACTTATTTAATTTGAAGTAAATTATTCTTTAAATGCTGCCAGAATCGAAGATGATTCATTTTCAATTTTTAAAATAGACTAACAGTGATGGATTCAAAAGAAGCACTTGAAAGTGTAAATTGCTTGCTATAAAGACTGAATATTAGTGTTTATATATATGTATATAGAAATATTGTCAGTTACTAACAAGTAATAACTTATTCCAGAATTATGATTTTGCTCATACACTGTGAATAACTAATGTTATAAAATAGCTCAACTGCTGTTTTAATTGAATGGTATAACATGTAAGAGCATAAGAAGTTTTCACGGTTGTTTCATTTTTGCATTTCTGCATTTTTGCATGATTATGTATTTGTTGTTGGATCTGATTCTGCCTGCCTCTGCAACCCTAATCTTTCATGTTTCATCTCTGATAGACCTTACTAATATTTTTTCCTGGAATTCTGGTGTATTTTTACAACAGATAAGCTGATAAGATTATCTGGTACTGCAGTGTGATACTGCAATCCAGTGTGGTACTGCAGTAGAATCTAAAGCAACACCCTATGCTTACCTGTAGGAAAAGAAGGTTCCTACTGTCTTGGAGCAACATGACAGGAGGTTAGAAGATCCCATAGCTAAGGTTACATATGTAGTTTAGTTAGCCCTATTTAATGGTGTGAGTTTTTTTTCTTTGTGTTTTTTATTCAATCCCTTATATATGAAGCAAGGTTTTGGCTACAGTGGTTTAAGTGCCATTTTTTTTTATGAGCTGCCCGAGTAAGGAAAGAGAAAATCTGAAGCATTAACTACCAAACAAAAGAAAACATTTACTTGGCCAGCACAAACTGATATCTAGAACGTTTGTAATTCATTTTTTGAAAAAATGTTTATACAGCACATTTAAAGCTTTTCATAAAGGGTACTCTCAAAATACTGTACATAAATTCCATTCAGTTGTGCTTAGAGAAGTTTACTATTTTGAATGCAAGCAGCATTCAAATTAAACACAAATATGCTGAAAATTTGAGGTTTATTGATTAAATGTATTTCTGTGGGATTTGGAGCTTACAGGGAGTGTGCTATTAAAAAAATAAAATATTTTCTTATTTCTTTTCTGTAGGAGATTCCTTTACACAGTTTCGATTTGCTGAAGAGAAAGACTGGGATACAGAAAACGTGTACTGTAAGCAGGTAACTGAATTTTCAGTGCAGATAATTGCCTGGCACAGGCTGTGTATGCAGTTCTGCTTACAGCAGAATAATAGCACTCTTTAATCTGTAGATATATTTATTAATTTGTTTCTGATGCTGGATGCTCTTGAGTCTTGTCCTTTTCTTTCCTCCTGAAGAACGTTCAAGGCAGCAGGCTAGGTTTTTAAGTAGCATTAAAAGAAAAGAACACAAACCTGTCAAGTTAAGGGCAAGTAAGAGGTATAGATCACCTTGTTCTGCTGACATATAAGGTCCGCTTTCCATTTTCAAATGTATTCAGGAGAACAGTTTAGCAAAGACTGTAATGGGACCTATAGTAATATATTCACATATTTGACTACAAAATGTGTTTTCATTAATTCAAATTAACAGTGTATATCCTCTACTAGAAACTTCAGTTCCAAAATGATTGTAGAACTCAACAAGGTTTGAATTTTTTTGCTTGTGGATCTCTGTGCTAATATAAATAGGACATTACAGTTTCTTTGCTCTTGTTTTTTTTATATTGGGATACTAGAGAATGTGTTAATCTATGAACTGGCTTCCTCCCGTAATCCACCTAAGTTATATTTCAAGATCACAGAATCATATAATTGCTTGGGTTGGAAGGGACCTTAAAGATCATCTAGTTCCAACCCCCTGCCACGGGCAGGGCTGCCATCCACTACATCATGGTGCTCAGGGCCCCATCCGACCTGGTGTTGAATACCCCCATGGGATGGGGCATCTACAGCCTCTCTGAGTGGCCTGTTCCAGTGCCTCACCATTCTTTGAGTGAAGAATTCTTAGTTACTTTCTAAGACAGCACCTAACATAAGTCTCCCTTCTTTTAGTTTAAAGCCATTATCCCTTGTCGTGTCACTATCTGCCCATGTAAAAAATTAGCCCCCCACCTGCTTTTAAGCTCTCCTCAAGTACTGGAAAGCTGCAATGAAGTTTCCCTGCAGCTTTCTCTTCTCCAAGGTAAACAAACCCAGATTTCTCATTCTTTCTTCATAGGAGAGGTCCTTCAGCCCTTCAACCATGTTTGTGGCTCTTCTCTGGACCCATTCCAACAGATCTATGTCCTTCTTGTGCTAGGGGCCCCAAAACTCCAAATGAGGCATCACAAGGGCAGAGCAGAGGGCGAGTTACCTCCCTCTCCCTGCTGGTCACCCGTCTATCGATGCAGCCCAGGATTCTGTTAACATTCCAGGCTGCAAGCACACACTGCTGGCTTTTGTCTTTGAAGCTTTTCTTAAAATTGCTAAAGAGCTGTGCTTGAATCTCTCTTGAAACATTTATATGGATTTGAATTTTGAACATTTCCTGCTTATTTCCTAAAATATTGAAAATAATTAGGGCACTGATATTTAAAGTTATATTAAAGTTGCAAAGTTGCAAATTAAGATGAGAAAATACAACCAAGTGGCTTGCACAGCAATTTTTTAATCCATCTTGTGATTTTTTTCAGTGGGAGATGGTCTTTCAATGGTTTTATATTCTTCCTTTCCCAGTATGTAGGATGCCAGTAGTACAGCACGTGACCTTTGCTTCCTTTTCTCTGTGCATATCCAGAATATTAATTTCTTTATGATTTCCTCCTAGACTTGTCATTAAAACATTTAACTGATCTGAACATATTAGCTCATTTATATGCTGAGGCCATGGTGAGCAGAGTGAAGATTTGCATTGCCAGTCAGTTTCAAACATGCTCTGTCTACCGATGCAGAGACTGTACATCTGGGATTCGGTCCAGCACTGAATTATGAAGTGTGTTGTGGTGGGCACGTTCTTTTGCCTCTGTTTCATTCAAATTCTGTGCTTCAAATAAATCATGTCTTTGACTTCTTGTTTTAGTCCTGGCCCAGGTGGCTTCTTAGCATGAGCTAATTCTTCATGTTCTTTCTGCTCGTCAGCCTGTAAGTTTCTTGCCCGTCTGTTTTTTTCCCTGAAAGCTGGATTCAACCCTTATTTTCTTCCTACATCTACAGCTTCAAATTCCCTGCCTTTGCCTCTTAGTTGATCTGCTTCTAGTTCTTTGCCTGTTTGTGTGCATAGAAGAAGTTATTATAGAATCAAACTGAACTTAATGTGAGGGAACAAAACAAAGTGGAAGAGGCATACAAATGATTGCAGAATGAGTAGATATTTCCCAGTCTTTGTTATTTGTAGAAAGGAATGGCAAAGCAACAGTTTGGAAGAACGTGTAATTGAATTGTAACAGTGACATTGACACTTTGTTATTGTTATTCATTTTTATAAAAAAGCAAACCTGAATTTGCTTTGTTGTACATTGATAACCCACAATAAGAACGTTTCAGAACACTGCAATTTAAAAATCAAACAAGTAGTGATTATCTGTTGGGTTGTTTTTTTTTTTCAGTAAAACTGGTAATTCCAGCAACAAAGTATTCCTCTGCTCATTTTCTTGCACAAATAGCTGCATATGCCATGAAATATTTATAATTCTTTAAATACTGCTTTCATCCATTTGTTTTTGTTTCTTCCATTTTTATTTAAGTACCATTTATAGTGAAATATCTACTTGGATGTTGAATTCCTATTTCCATTATATTATTTCTCAGCTCTTTTCCTTCATCATCAGCCTTTCCTCTTACTCCCTGTCTCTATTTTCACCTTCATTCACAATATTTTATTGACCTTAATATTTTTGCAACTGTACATAGCTCATAGCTCTTCCCCAATGCACTTAAATGTTATTCAATGATATTTGACATTTTACAATTTTTTGTTACTAGATTTATATGATTTCCCTGTACAGATGCTATAGTCTCTTATGACATTGTCAGCTTGTGGAACCGTTTCCTACTTTGGATTTCCAAGGCATTCATCCTCTGTTTTTAACTGAGTAATAATTTGCTTTGTAGGTGTTTAGCCAGATTTAGCCAAAATGCTTTGTACATGTGTACTTTTAGAACTAGGAATTCCTGCTATTATTGCCAATGTCTTTTAGATACTGTATATTTTTAAATTGGTCTTCACGTTCTTACAATGTGTGGAGCAAAGGAATTTAATACACTGAAGACATAAACAGTTTCAACTTGTTTTTTAATGCAAGTGTGCTGATTTACATTTCAGTTATCTGCACTTTCTGTTGATTGCCAGTCCTTGGCCCAGGCCCTACAAGAATTGCCTCTACATCTGAGGTTGAATGTAGCTGCTGAACTTGTACAGGTAATTCAGTGAATATTCACAATAAAGTGTAAATATTTTAACTGATATTATCTATGCTAGAATATTTACTTTAAACCTAGTTTTCAAATGTAACGTGAATGCATTTTATAAGTAAACATATTTTTGAGACTGTCGTGAAGTAGGAGATCCCTGTATCAGCCCTTTTTATGCTTTAAAAGTGCCTTTAAGCAAAATACTTTGTGTGCATTGCATTGGACTTCAAGCCAGGTATATATGAGTGACATGAAATTATTCTAATGTTTTTTGTATTTGCTCATCTTTTTAGCAGCTATTAAAAACTTGCAATAAGATTTTGAAAATGCTTCCACATTCTTTCTGTTAGACAGTTATTTTGTTTGATTTACACTTCTAGAGAGCCAGTATGAACATATATGCTTGTTCTGTGAATTAGACTTAATGTGCGTGTAAACAGCTACAACTGTTGGTCAAACAAGTGAAAAAAACATGCTCTGGTTAAAGAAAGGTATGGAAGGAAGTGTTTCTTCAGTCTGTGAAAATAGAAAATATTAATGTAGAGAAAAAGAACTGATGAGACAAGTTAAAAAGCAAAAGCAGAAAAAAGATCCATCTGCTCAAGCAGAGGAAAATGAAGATTTTTAATATTCTGTCTAATAATTAGAAACTCTGAAGTCCTCTCTTGTATTCTTAGGCGTCTACACCCGTAGAGCTACCACAGATGAAGTCTAAAGTTGTTGAAGACAGCAAGAGGAGAGAGCTGTTTCGACAATCTTTGTCTCAAAGGGAAACAGTGTCGGTCTCCCGATCTGTTGGTGATTCTGCTGCTTCATTGGAGCCTGGAACTAAAAGTGATCCTGCGACAAGTGCAGCAGAATCATTTCAGAGAGCCCATCTGCTGGCAAAGCAAGAGACTGACCATTTGGATGAAGAACTGGATCGTCTCCTAAATCTGGATGCTCCCATTGATTCTGTGTCAGGTGCATTATCCTACAATGTATCAACAGAGAAAGATCTGAAAATGGAAAGTAAGGAAAATGGTAAGATTTTGCTTACTCCCAGTGTCTTTATTTTTTTTTTCGATTGTTTTCTTTCTCAGTGTTGTTTTTAAACTCCTAACTTGCAAGTAAACAAACAGTTCTGCTATCAGTATCTCTGTAATAGGGCACTTCATTTATCTGGGGCTGTGCTCTGACCCACTCACCTGAAGTTTCACCACTGTCATGATGTTCATTTTAAGCATTAATTCTGTAGAACAGCAGTGGTCTTACAAATCAGCCAAATTTGATGTTTTTTTTTAAAAGTACTGTTACAGAATTTTAGTTAGTGGAAGATTAAAATAGTTTTTATGTAATGTTATCAGCCCTTAGTTCTCTCTGATAATAAAATGAAGACCTGATAGCTATTTCTGATAACACTACAAATGTTATTTTCAAACTTTACTAACATTGATAATACAAAATGAACTTTTTAATAGACACAATACACATGCAAATTTTCCTATTGCAGAAGTTCAGTGAGCCAGTGGAATCTGTACTACTGTTAGCTCTGAAGGAGAACAGTTGTAGTTCTCTTCATTGTACAGTGATGTTAAAGAACTTTAACATCTCTGATTTTTGTGTATGATTGTTTTGTTGTGATAAAAATTAAGTTCAAACAGAGAGATAGCTGAAGACATAAATATCACCATGTGCAATGCAGTAAGCCTTGTCTCTGAAGAGAATCTTTCATTCCACTGGTATATTCCAAAGCACAGTGTAAATCCCTTAAGAAAACAGTGCCATCAGAATGTGGAATTACAATCATCATGCTAATTGCATTGTGATCTGCTGTTGTGGTCTCCTGCTGCTTTCCTACATTAAAGAAAACTCTGTTTATGTCAGGGTTGTGAATAGATTGCAGTATGGGTTTGCTTACTTAAAAGCAGTCTGCTGTAGATCAGGTTTTGCCTCCCCTTGAATCAGGTGGAAGCTGCATTGCTATGGTTGAGTTTATCAAACTGCATCATTGTTTTTAATTGTTGCTACTGTTTTTGAAATGTTATTCTTTGAGAGATTGTGTTTCAATAAAACATAATCAGTCATGCATTATAAAAGCAAACTGATGAAGGAAGAAGACAGTATAGATTTTTTTCCACGTTTTCAAAAGTCTGTCCTTTTCTAGCCCCTCCAACAGCAGATATGCCAGAAGAGAAAAGTACAGCACCACAGCAAGAGCAGAAAACATCCAAAATTGTTACTGAGGAAGAGCTTGAAGATTGGCTGGACAGCATGATTTCCTGAAACCAATTTTCCGTACGTGAATAAATGAATATAGCTAAAGTCAAGTAGAAAGTGGAACCCTCCTTTAGCTGTTCTTTATGTCATTTATTTGTTTCACTTGCCTGGTTTTATTTGCAGGCACCTGAAATTCTGTGCCACCAAAATCTGATTAGGTATGATTGATTAAGTAATGTTTAAGACTGTGTAACAGTCTTAGAGAGACCTAAAATTTGTGATTAAAAGTTGGGATTTTTTTTTTTTTTGCTTAAAATGTAGGCTGCAGCAAACTGCCCAGAGTCATCATTTCAGCTTGTATTTGCTATATGCAGTCGTTAAAATAAAGTGATGAATGCACAACAAATACATGTTTTTAATCAGCTTCAGCACATCACATTTCTGTATTGCAGAAAAATCAGAAAGAAATTACGAAGGCAGTATTTGGTTTATAATATTTTATTGCGTGGGCACTTTCTACTAGAAGAAAAATAAATGCATAAACCTTGCAGCTTCTATTTGCAGGTGACAGTAGAGCATTGTTTTATTTTGGCCTGTGATTTAAACTGTATTCATTTTGATACAGGGTGTGTCTTGTAACAGCAGCATCTAATAAGCTGTTATTGAAGGTTGTATACAAACTTTGAGTGCAGTTTCATACAGAAAGACAGATAAGCAATACAGTCAATGGATCTGTTCACCTAGAACACTAACAAATAAAAAGTTTGCATAGCTATGTCTACGGAGGTTTTAAGGCACTTAATGATTCAAGGTCAACAAAGTGTTTGAAAATGTTTCCTTTTATCTGCTTAAAGCTTTTCAAGCTGTGTCTTAATACACTGACTAGCAAATATTGTGGGGCAAAAATGGGACAGCACTTGAAGTACTTTTTCTGAGGCATGGCCTTTGATGTTCAAGTACTTAAATGTCAAACGTTATACAGGTAAGACATCTTTTAGCCCTTTCACTCTTACCAAACACTAGGTTAAATGGTGTAGTTAAAAACTTATAATATCAGAACATGTTTAAATTGGAAGGCTCGATTTGATATTGGCATAGATTTTTTTTTTCAAATTACAATTCCAACAGAAGACCAGTTTTGTACGTGGTACATATAAAAAGCCTATGAAATTTTTTCAAATTTTATGTATGTCTTTAAGTTTAAAGACATTTAAAGCAAATACAGGCTGAGAATTTACATCATGAAGAGGAAAGAAGTTTATATACTGGATCTTTTGTTATATTAGCCAAGTTGATCCTCATACTGTTTCCGAAAGCAGTCTCCTGCTGGGAAGAAATCCCAGCATCTTTCTTGGTACATCTTCCACACAAATGATTCCTGAAAATGATAAAGAATGCTTATTTTAAGATTTATATTTAACATTTATTTTTAGCATTTATTTTAACTCCTTACAGCCAGTGCTCTAAATTGTAACAGTAAGCAGTTACTGTGCTTAATAAAAGAAAAAGTCAAAACAGTGCAGGTAAGTGATAACTAATCAGTCCAATTCTATCAGAGCAAACCTCTATAATCTGCATTGCAAATTGTGTTTTAGTTTCCTTGGAAAACACTGAATTATGAGGTACTTTCATGGTATGGTGCAACAGCTTATTTGAAATAAGATATAATTAAATCTTATTTATTTTCCTTACACGTGGGGCCTAATAACACCAAACTTACATATGTTCATATACTGTCTGTGTATATTTGAGTATAGACTATAAGTATGGTAATGTAACTACTGATGGCTGTCTTCTCCAGGCACAGTATAGTGCTGGATAGGACAGCACGCTGCTGTACCTGTCCTTTTTTCTTGCTCAAAAATCTCAGGAGTGGGATATGTCTCCACTGGTGGTACATCAGTTCCACCTGGTGGTACGTAGCTACAAAGCTGGAGAAGAGGAAGATGGATCTTTTCAACACAAATATTTAGCTTTTTTTTTTCTCAGCTCACCTGGCCAGTATGCTCAGTCTCGTCCTTGTTTATGAGGTACATTAAGAAGAACCTGAAACAAGTGCATGGAACAGGTATTAATGCAGGAAGTATAATCTCTCCCCTAACCTTTCCTAGAATGAGATTTGATGTTTACGGTGGCAACCAGCAAAGAAACATGTTCCTAGGCTTCTAGGATGTTTTAAAGAAGAAAATGCTATCCTTGGGGACTTCTCCTGTGAAATTGCTAACAGCTGTAGAATCTTTAGAAGTGGAAAAATGTATTTCAGCAGTTTCTTCATTTCAGTGCTCATCAGTAGTAATACCTGGTTTGGGCCTACATATATAGCTCTTTTGTGCTCGAATTCTCATGTTGGAAGAAGTTCTTAGAGCATTTATGCAAGAAGTATGATAGGTTATGAGCTTATAAGGTAGATGGCAGATGGCTTGGAAATCGTGGTGCAGCCAAGTAGAACCTTATCTTAGGTAACGCTTGTGCTCAAATGTACAAAATTGAAGTAATTGGAAAGGCTGTAGAGTACTAACACTTGGTCTGTTTTTTGTGACATTGCTCTTAGATACCTGGTTTTTGATGTAATGCATTGGGAATTAAACAATATGTTTTCATTTTAAAAAAGGAACATGTACTGACTTCTTAAATTTTTTTTTTAATTGAAAGGCAACCTGCATACAAAGATTATTCTCTGTATGTTCTAATATTAAGAAAATGACAGTTTTTAATTTACAGTGAATGACAGGATCCCACATGCCAATCAAGCGCTCCAATATAGTAAGAGAAGCTTGGAGGCTGTAGATTGATAAGACTGTGGATACAGAAGGAAACCTGACTCACGTAAATAACGTGTATTGACTCTACAGAGTCAGTTACTGTGCAAGGGATAATATATACCAACCATGTTGGTATATATATATAATATATACCAACATATATACCAAGAGGCACACTGTTGTTTTGTTCTGTTTTTTTAAGCTCAGATACAATATTGTATTCCAAAGCCAGACTTTATAGAAGGGTCTACCAGTTCAGCCTCCTTGGTTCTGCTGGCGTGATGCTCGTGTAGTTATCATTTTTGTCAGGGTAACTAATGCCACCAAATTCACTTTCAGTAACCCTCTTTGATCTGCTCTACACTCCCTAATGAAAGTATGCAACCACTGTCTTAGGAGTCTTGGCAATAGACTTAATGTATACTAGCACCAATTGTTTAGTGGTTTCAGAAAATTGCTGGTAAGAAACTACAGAATCAGATTTGTACATTATTTTTTGTAGCTTATTTTCCAGAAATGCATTTTTTCATTATTATTTTGAACATAACTCATAGAAATCAAACCAAACCAAAGACCTTCCTTCTGCTACCATAAGCTCTTATAGATGTACTCAGAGTTCTGGAAGCAATGAGAAGTAACATTTTTAAATCAGCAGTAACTTTCAGTGGTTTTAGTCTAGAAGACGGTTGTGACTTTCTTGGGATTTGGTCATATTGATAAAACAACTTACTAGCTAGTAAACTGTTGTTTCCCAACCCTTTCATATATGTGGCTTTCATTACAGAGGATTAAAGGGCCTGATGTGCCTTCAGGCATTATTCCACTAAGCTAGCTCATGTAGAGCAAGCACTTTAAAGATAACCAACAGCTCAAAATGTAGGGGGAAAACCAGAAAGGAATGGAAATATTCCTCTGTCTTAGGACACACAACAGTGTGTGCTTCTAAATTACTTTTGAGCTGAAAAATCTCATTATAATAATTCTAATAGTAAAATATACTTACAGGTAGTTTGCCAAGTTGTGTTCCTGCAGGGTATGTGTTTCAAAGCCATGTGGGGTTGTGTCAAAATAGTCGTTGCCAATTCCACAAATAAAACATTTGGTCTGGAAACACAATTTGTGTTTACAAATCAATTATAACTTAAAGATTCAATTATAACTGTAAAAATCTAGATTAATAAGAGAAATGAAAAAAATATAATGTTCCTCTCATACCTCCATATCTTCTCTCACTTGTTCTTGCTGGTCTCTTAATTCACCAAAAGCATCAATAATCAGACCTATTTCAAATGGATAGAATGGATAGGTTGCAACAGTTAAGTACTTAGCAATGCTTCTATTTCAAGTAGTGCAAAAAAGTAGCTCTGGTAGACATCCTCCTTTCTATTTGAAGTTTGGTATACTTCTGTACAGGTTGAATAATTCAAGTTCAAATGTATCAATTTGCAGCCATCTTGTATTCATTTATACTGCACCCAGCAGTGAGAATTTCTCTTACTTCCTCTTAAGAAAAAGCTTCCTTTTGTAGAGTGAAGGAGAATTGGATTCCACAAGACAGCCACCACCCTCCAAACAGTTTGTGATGCTGCTTCACATTTCCACCATTATTCTTTCACTTCCAGTGCGTTAAGAATAAAGTTAGGTCATTTGAGGTACTGCAACCTCAAATTTTTGTAATATCTAAAAAATATAGACCATTTATATTTTTTTCTTTGCCACTAGACTACCTGAAAAATGTCTGTTTTACTTTTTTTCCTTCCAACCATAGGACAGTTTATACAATGAGTGTTCAACACTGACAGTCATTCAATATATATCTCCTTCTCTGCAAGCCACAATTGCAAACAAATTAGAACTGAAAATCATCCTCTAAGGAAATGAGAAAATGTGGCCATGGTGTCTTGTCAGAGAAAAAACCCAAGAGGAATGACTAGCTCCAAACTAATGCTGTGAAAAGAGTCTACAGTAAGGCTCTCTCCAAGTTTAAATAGTGTTCTTAGCAGGAAGAGCAATCCTCCACAAAGTGTGTCATTGCTGGAGAGTTGTCAAGATATTCATAAATGCTGTAATCAAGGTAAGTTCTGTTTCTAGTACTTTGTGTAATATTTGGTAGAATGCATTATTTATAAATTAAGTTTATAATTATAACTTTCAGAGTTAGTGACTTTATAAGCTCAGAAATTAGCCTTTGAAGCAATACCGTATAATTTATGTCAAACATAAATGTTATTTGAATGCACTCAGAACTTAAGTATACTAAATTCTATTTCTTGCTGGTCTCTCGCTAACACAAGTGAAAGTACCTTGAATAATGGCCAGTAGGATAACAATGACAAAGAAGAA